TGCAAATCAGACGTTTAGTCTAAAATTGAACCTATATTTTTATTAAATGATTGATCTGAAAACTAACAATAGACTAAATAAATATAAAAAGTTTAAATATCAAACAATAATTACAAAGAAGTGTGACTCAGAGAAGAAAAAAATATATATTACAAAGAATTGCATTTATTTATAAAATAAACAAAAAATAAAACATCAAATTAAGTACTATTTGGATCCTCTAGTTTTCAACTTTAATTTTGATTGATCCTCTGGTTTCAACTTTGGTTAATTTTGATTCGGGTAGTTTTAAAATATCATTTTAGTCATTGTATTTTAATTTTATGTTATTTTAGTTCTAGTGTACTTTTTAATTTTCTATTACACTCAATAAATTTTTTTGAAAATGACTCATAACTTTACAAAAAAAAAAAAGAAAATTACCGCTCATAACTTTGTATTACAAATATGTATATAATTTATGTTAAATTTTAAAAATAAATATCAAAATAATCACTTTTTAAGAGTATAGAGATCAAACAAATCATGGTGACCACCTACCTAGTATTTAATATTCTACGAGTTACCTTGTCAACCAAATGTAGTAGGGTCAAGCTGTTGGCCTGTGATTAGTCACTGGACTGGACACACGGATTTAAACAAAAAAAAATCAAAACGAACATTATGAAAATACCATGACTAAAATAAATAAAGTGAAAAGTATGTAGATCAAAATAAATATTTTAGAATTATATGAACCCAAATTAATTCAAATTGAAAATAGAAAAGTATTTTAACTTAAAGTTTAAAGTAATAAAATCAAAATTTCCGTTTGTGACAGTTAATTAATATAACCTTATAGCCAGTGATAAAAGCTGATAAAACCTTTTTTTTTCAACATTCTAATAAAACGTTTCTGATTAGATCGATGTATCTCTTTAAAAAAAATAAGATATTGATGTATATTAAAAACCTAATTATATATATATATATATATATATATATATATATATATATATATATACTGTTCTTTTGAGAAAGACTAGATAACTATATTAAGAGCCAAAAAAAACTCCATTATTGTTTTTCAAATAAAATAATATACTAACATCTATCACGTTATATTCAATCTAGAAAATCATTTTGTTAGATCCAAATTAACTCCCCAATTTCAAAATTTTCGTTCAAGTAGAATAAATTTGGAAGAGCCTGATTGATTAGTATGATGTCATATCACCCTCAAATATCAGTTCATTGAAATATCAAAATATTGAAACTAAATTATCTTATAGTATAATATATTTAAATTATTAACAAAAATCAACTTTATGGCAATAATTTTCTTATTTGTTTAAAAAAAAATTATTATTCAATGTTGGTTTTTTTAAGTACAACAACTTAATTAGGGTATTGACATTTGAACATGAAGAAGCATGTATACTGAGTTATGTTCATGTTGATCATTACCTGTAAATAAATGTTCAGATGTATAAGAGTATCAGATCACGTTATTTCGTTAAAATTTTAAATAGTAAGTGCAATTTAACAAAAATAATTAAATATTCGCATGAAATTAGTGTGATTACCGTAATATATTTGCTAGCCACAATATAACTATGGGTTAAAATATTATATACTTGTCGTCACGGCGACGATGTATTCAAATTTCTGTTCTCATATTGTTGCACCAAAAAAATAATTTTATCTTTTTTTTTTATGGAGAATTCCAAATCCATCCAAATATTACCCAAAAATTAGAAATCGAGTAAGAATGAATATTAAGAATTTTCACGATGATGAGTGGGGTAAAACATCCATGATTGTACCTTTTACTCATTTGCCATGTATAAGTAGTACATCTATGGCTACATGTATCTCCGACCAAAAAGTTTTGGATTCGAATTCTCATCCTTACACATTGTTATAAAAAAATGGTAGCATCTATTATTAATGACAAAAATCAGTTAATCATTTTTTAGTATAACAAGAGGTTGAATAATTTGAAACTTTAATATCTCAAAAGATAAATAATCTCGTGACTAGTTGAGCTGTTATACCTACAGGAATTGACTTATTTAACCCAGACTCTAACGACTCTATAGAAGCAGTAACACAGGGAGAAAAAAAGGAAAAAAATATATATATCACATAATAATAGTAACAAATTTGGTATTACANAAACAATGGTCATGTAACGACCGTTGGAAATGGCTCCCCTTAGCATTACGTTACGTGCCCTCTGTCGTGTGTCGTCCTCCCATCAAACAATTCAAATTACCATAAATGCCCCTCCTTATCCCATTATTATTATTATCATTTTTTTTAAGCTGCGCTTCATGAGCAAAAATATAGAATTGTATTTTATGATTTTTAGTGTTTCTAAATATATATTTAGGGTGTGTAGTAACATATTTATAAATTAATGGTAGTTAATACTTAATATTTATGTGTTAAAATATTATTAATTAATCTATATATTATAAGTTTTAATTTCAATAAAAATGAAATCAACTTATAACATGAAAAAGGTATGTTTATCAAGTTTTTACTTTTTTCAATGTAATTTTTATTTTAAAATTTAAAATTTGAAATATAAAAATAAATCTATAGTTATTGTTTTCAAAATTTTCACCCTCATAAAATTCAAAAGTAAATTCATATATTTTATATATTTTAAAAGTTGGGAAGGATTCAGGGAAAATAATTGYTTTTACTAATATTTAATTATCAATTTTATTTTAGTCGAGTCAAAGCGTCACTTTTAAATGTCTAACCAAATGTCTAACCAAGACGTTGTGAGTTTGATCCCCACTCCCACATGTTGTACTAAAAAAATTATATATTAATTTAGTCTAGAACATTGCATTAAAATTTATTTAATTTTGTAAACTTTTATACCTATTTTGTTTTGATTCTTGAAAATGGAAGGTTCTCACTTTAATTCTTAAAATTTGGAAAAAAAATTATTGTGGACTTTTAGCATTAACTTTTAATTAATACTTTAACAATAACTAAAACATATTTAAAAATTTAACGCCTAACTTACAATCCAGGTCTTCAAATACTCCTCTGTATATATTGGTCGGATAAAAGAAAAAAAAAACTTTGGTTAGATTTATATAAAATCATTTAGTAAAATTTTTTTAGTACAATTTAGTAAAAAATTGAGTGAGTTAAAATAGTTTTTTTAATCAAACTTTAGTGAAATAGAATTTTAAATGTATATGAATAAATTAAATAAGTTTAAATATTATTTTATCTTTGTACTTTTTGGCTTTGGTTTATTTTAATTACTGCACTATAAAAACGTGTTAGCTTTAGTCTCAATAATTTAAAAAGTCTATTTTAATCCTCGTACGTTTAAAAAATGATCATTTTAGTCTCTTTATTTTCATTTTAATTTTAGTCCATTCGCTCTAAAGGTGCCAGGACCAAAATAATCCAAACCAAAAATATCATATTTAAAATAGTTTTTAAATTAAATAAATAATATAATAGTTAAACAAATGTTAATTTCTTTAGAATACATTATAATACATTATTTGTTTGTTTTCTTTTCAAAGTCAAAAGATAAATGAAAAAGGTGAAATTAAAGGGAAAAAATATACGGTTGCGCATGGGACCAGGAAAAGAAAGTAGGCTCTCCTAATCATACTATTTCAAAAGAATCCAATGATATTTTATTGTTTTATTTGGTCGCATTATTAATTTAGTAAAACAAATAGCCAAGAAATTAATTTGGATGTTACAAATTATTATTATTATTTTTTGCTCAAGATGTTTAATTTAATCATGCTAACAAATTTAATGGGTTGCATATAAGGCTTGAATTTATTAAGAGTTAGATCAAAATTCAAAATTATAATAGTATTTAAATGCATTGATAAGATAGGATGACGTTTTTGTTTTTCTAAATCTTCTTTGATACTTCGTTAAAAAGATTTGAAGACTAAGGCAGGAAATCCCTTGAAGAAAATTTATGGGATCGAGTACTTTGTATATCAAAATATTGGACTCTATGACATTTGATCACTACCTCATGGCAACTACCTGTTTAACCCCATTACCTCATTAAGTCATCTCACCTCAATACATGATACATAAATACTACTTCATTGCATGCCGTTTTTTCGGCCCAAATTAAGAATCTATGCTCAACTACATATACACATTATTTAATAGACTCCCCTTAGGAGTTTACTTCTGACTCATCATCACGTACTATAACAGTTTCATCTTTGTCATTATTATTTTTATAATAATGTATCTTTAACCTAATAAAGAATCTTTTTCATTGGGAGAGTCAACAATAATCCAATGCTTCTTTTTTATGTAAAACGACGATTAAAGATCACATAATCTTTGGGGGTAAGAAATTAAGCAAAAATTCACTTTATTGAGTTCATAATGCAAAATAGGGAAAGAGACAAATTCTCATGAAAATGTCAAACTCTCTTACAACTTCATTACCAAATGAGCAAATGCTACCATATTCTCTCAATACATAGTGTAAACTATTTTTATAGTAAAATAAAAAAATATAATTTTTTTAGAATAAAAAATATAATTAATATAATAAACCCCTCGAAAAATAAATATTTATTTATTTATAACTTATTTGTAACCAATCATAAAATAGAAATATTTATTTTTCTCCTTATTTTCATAATTCATTCCAACACTCAATCTTATTGGTCCCAAAAAAAATATATATATATATAAAAGATTGAGCATTTTTTTTTAGAAAAAATAAACTTGGCATCTTAGCTGGATGACACGTGACGTAAAAAGAATCCCGCAGGAATATTTGAAAAGAACAAGGGCATAACCGTCAGACAAAATTATTTTTATTATTTTACCTCTGTTCATTTTCCAATTCAAGACAAATCAGACCTGAAATAAACAAATAAATAAACAAAAATTTTATAATATTAATAATTTATTTATTTCTAACTTCCCCTGAAAATTAGATTATAAAATAGAAATATAACATTCAGAAGCTTCTCCTTTTTCCACTTTATTAATTTATCCATTTTTTGCCCCTCAGATCTCCAAATTCCTTCATGTCATAATCTTCTTCCATTTTTCTTGAATTTCAGATTCTTTCTCAAGCTTTCATAATGTGAATTTCGATTTCCATGTCACTCACCTCATTCTCCGAGTTCAACTCGCTTGCATTTTCATCTACTCTTCAGTTCTTACACTTCTTCTACAGCTATGAGGTTCTGGCCAGAGCTTGATTTTCTACTCTGAACCAGTTGCCGGCGGAGGCTTTGCCGGATATAGGCGAAGATGTTCAAGTCGGCAAGATGGAGGAGTGAGAAGAATAAGGTTAAGGCGGAGTTTAAGTTGCAGTTTCATGTCACTCAGGTAGTTTGAGATTTTATTTTATTATTTTTTTCCCTTTTTGCCTGGACATTGACCTCGATTTTGAATCGTTTTCTGGTGTTCGACTGCTTATAGCTGGTCTTAGATTGATTCTGTGTATCGGAGTTTTGAGCATTGCTTGAATTAGCTCAAAAGATTGTTGGAAAATCGAGCAGTATTTACCTGGTTAATGTCGTCCGTTTAGAGCTGAGAAAACATTGTAATGGATTTAAGACTTTTATGATGGTTAATACATCCATGCCCGTGAACAAGAGCAAGATTTCTTGGCTAAGCATTTAGTTACTTGGCCAGATAATTAAGATTGTAAATGTAATTTAATTTCAGGTGTCACAGTCAGTGGTAGATGCATTGACGTTATCCGTGGTTCCTGGAGACGTGGGAAAACCAACTGCAAGACTGGATAAAGCTACAGTTCGTGATGGAAGCTGCAAGTGGGAAAATCCAGTTTATGAAACAGTCAAGTTTGTACGGGACACCAAAACTGGGAAAATCAATGAGAAAATCTATTATTTCCTCGTCTCAATGGTGTGTATGGAAGCTTTGAAGTTAATCTATTTTTGTTGTCAATTAGAATATACACTGCATATGCGGTTTAATTTGGATATTCGTGTAGGGACGGGCAAAATCCAGGGTGTTTGGGGAGGTTTCTCTCAACTTAGCTGATTATGCGGATGCCACAAAGTCCTCTTCCGTTTCTCTTCCCCTAAAGAATTCGAATTCTGATGCAGTTTTGCACGTGAGTAGTCTTTTGAATTTGAACATTAGAAGCTCTGTTGAGCACTGAAGTTTCATCATCCAAAGTAAACTGAACTTTTGTTTCTCTTGTTTTTCATAGATTTCGATACAGAAGTTGCAGGCTAAAACTGAGCCAAGGTGTGAATCTGTGGTTTTAAGTATTATTCCTTTCTTAATTATCTGCAAACTTTAAAGAGTTTACTTTGATAATAATTGATTGAGGGTTTGCTCTGCTTCTCCTGATGGAAAAATTTACAGAGAGGTGGAAGATTTTGACGATGTCAGTGTTGGATCCCAGGGAACAAACTTGAAAACATATTTGAGTAATGGTGATATAGATGAAAGCACGAAAAGCAATTATACTGAAGTAAGGCTCCCCATTTCCTAGTTTCATATTTAGCATCTCTTATCTTCTACTATTTTCAGAGATTTTCATGACCACTTTTCCAGATTTAACTCGTGGGTGGCAGTCTTTATTTTCTTTAAAAACTCACTATAGGGTTCTGTAAATTGATTTAGGTTTTCCACAGTTATTTTTATCGTTGCTGTAACTCTTTCCTTTTCCTTTTGTAAAATAGGACGAGCAGATTAGCAAGAGCCCTCATGATTTTGAACTAAATGGTGGCTGTAGAGCATCAAGTGGATCTGATATTACGTTATCAAGTTCTGAGAGCAGCTCTGGACTTGATACTCCACGAGAACATAGAGCGAGAAACAATAACCATCTTCAACCTGTTTGTTTATCATCAATTCCTCATAAACCAGTGACATTTCTTTCAACGACCACTGATAAGGAGAATCAAAGATCACAATCAGTGTGGTCCCTTGGTTCCGATCATGGAGTAAGCATAGATGAATCATCAGATGATATGCCTCCCAGAGAAAGGTCTGGACCAGTTGCCAGGTCTGAGAAAGTTGCAGATATCGAGATTGAAAAGCTTAAGGCTGAGCTTGTTGGCTTTTCCAGGCAAGCAGAAGTGTCAGACTTGGAACTACAGACACTTCGAAAGCAAGTTGTGAAAGAAAGTAAAAAGGGACAAGAGCTGTCAAGAGAAATTGTCATTTTGAAAGAGGAGAGAGATTCACTCAGGGTGGAATGCGAGAAACTCAGGGCCAAATCCGAAAACAAGATGCAGTTGGAGGATAAGAAAACGGAGTTTCTTCTGGAAGAAATGAAGGAAGAATTAAACCATGAGAAGGAGTTAAATGTAAACCTTCAACTACAACTCCAGAATACCCAGAAATCTAATGATGAGTTGATTCTTGCAATGCGAGACCTAGAGGAATTACTAGAGCAGAAAAATGGTAAAAGAGACCATCTCGGTGACAGATTAAGATTTTCTCAGGATGCTGAAGAGTTATGTAATACTATCTCAAAGTATGAATCTGAGGATGATGAAGAGCAGCAGGCATTGGAAAAGCTTGTTAAGCAGCATAGTAATGCAAATGAAACATACCTTCTGGAACAAAAGGTCATTGACCTATACAGTGAAGTAGAATTCTACAAGAGAGAAAAGGATGAATTAGAAATGCATATGGAACAACTTGCACTTGACTATGAAATACTGAAACAGGAAAATCATGGCATGTCATATAAACTGGAGCAATGTGAACTGCAAGAGAAACTCAACATGAAAGAAGAATGCATACCCTCTGCTCACATAGAAGAGCTGGAAACCTACGTAGAACACTTGGATAAGGAACTTAAGCAGCGGTCCAAAGACTTCTCTGATTCTTTGAGCACCATACAAGAACTTGAAGCCCATATCCAGGCTTTGGAGGAAGAACTGGAGCAGCGAGCTGAAAGATTTGAAGCTGATCTAGAAGGTATGACACGTGCCAAAATTGAGCAGGAGCAAAAAGCCATCCTAGCAGAGGAGGCCTTGAGGAAGACAAGGTGGAGAAATGCTAATGCAGCTGAGAGGCTTCAAGAAGAACTCAAAAGGCTTTCAATGCAGATAGCCTCGACGTTTGATGCAAATGAGAAGGTAGCTGCTAAAGCACTAGCCGAATCAATCGAGCTGCAATTGCAGAAAGCTCAATTAGATGAAAAGCTTGAGTCTGCTAATAAAGAGCTTCAGTCAGCTAAGAAGGACTATGAGGCGAAGCTCCATGAACTCTCAAACGTCATAGATTTGCAAACAAGCCAGATCGAACAGATGTTTTTAGAACTTCATACGAAATCCAAGCTGCTTGAAGAACAGGAGATTCAGAAAAAGGTTTGTGAATCTCTCTCTGGGGAGATTTTGTTGCTCAAGTATGAAATTGAAAGGCTCACAACAGAAAATAGGTCACTCAAGGAAAGCGAGAGCTTGATCCAGAACAAAAACATGGAAAGAAATGAGCTTGTAACAACAATTGCTTTGATTATGAAAGAATGTGAGAAGTTTCAAAATGAATTAAATAGAATAAGACATTTGAAGGATGAATGTGAGATATCAGTCGGATGTCTACAAACAGAGTTGGAGGTGCTCAGAGATCACTGCAGTGACTTAAAACATTCTTTGGTCGAAGAGGAGATAGAGAAAGATAAACTTAGACATCAGGTATTTCAGCTAAATGATGGCCTAAAGAAGGCGAAAGAATACAATGGTATTGACATGCCCTGGTATAGCGAGGAACACACATCAGCTTGTGATGGAGTTCAAACTTCTACAGATTCTCCTATGAAAAGTAGCCCGAAGGAAGTTGCAGCTCTAAGGGACAAAATTGAGTTGCTTGAGGTATATCGAGATCCCTACATACATTAAAGATGAATTTAAATCTAAAGAAGCAGTGTCAAAATTACGAATCTGGCATGGATGATGCATGATTGCATATTACCACGCCAAGAATCAATATTTTGTGCTGAAAATTTTTGTAAATGGTAAATTTATTTTTGAATCATGCAATCCAATATATGGATCCTATTTTCCTTTCCAGAGACAGATAAGTTTGAAAGAAGATGCCATAGAAACTCTAGCAAGTAGGATTTCAGAAAAGGCGATGGATTTTCAGCACACAATTGAAGATTTGGAGAGCAAATTGGAAGTTGTTCCAACTAGCACATTCCAAGGGGTAGGAAATATGCATTATTTTAAAGCATGCAGATTCTGACCTCAATTGCTGTGTCAAAAGGATTCTGTTCTTCTTCATTTACATTTAAAACACACTTTACAGACTACAGAAATAATCGTGAATAAAATCAACATTGATTTCACCATGTAATTCTTTTGGTGTCTGGATTTCTTTTGTCACTATGCTATTGGCAGTCTTTCTCATGTTTGTGCTTGTTTCCATAGAACTATATGAATGTCAGGGCTGCATATTTATTTTCTTTGAAGTTACATAAATCTGTATGTCGTTAAATAACCCTTCATGATTGACTTGGAAGCAGGTAAATGGATGTAGAAGCAATATTAGCTGGACCAGTGGTATGTCCAAGGATACAGTGGTGAACCAAGGCCAAAACACAATCTCTTCATCAACCATAGAATATGAGAATACAGTGTCAGTTGGCAGGTATGTTAAAAAACAGATAATAATTTCTCTCTCTCTCCAAGGTTTTTGCTCAACCTCTGCTTCTTGTTTCCCAATTGAACGGTAGAAACAATTAACTCCCTTATCCGCTTCCTTATCCTATCCACAGGAATGATAGAATTTCAGCAGAAAAAGAACCGAAAGCCTACAAACTTGATAACAGAGACGACAACTGTGACAACTTTTCAACAGAATTAGCATTATTGAGGGACAGAAACAAATTAATGGAAAGTGAACTAAAGGAAATGCAAGAGAGATATTCAGAGATAAGTCTCAAGTTCGCAGAGGTAGAAGGTGAAAGACAACAGCTTGTAATGACTCTACGCAGTCTTAAGCATCACAAGAAGATTTAGTAATTATTTCGTAGCATTATATAGAAAAAGTATACACTTCACGTAGATGAAGTAGCGTGATACCACACAAGACATTCTGTTAGAGTGAATAAATAATTTGTTTGTAAATTATTTAGCCCCCTCCCCCACCCACTAGAACAGAAAAGGAGGAAAAACAAAAAAAAAAAAAAAGAGGAAAAAAGGAAAGCCAGAAATGCCATTATCTGGCATTATCTGTCCGATCGAGTCAAATATTTTTTGGTCCATTCAACTTTTCTTTATTTATTTTAAAATTCTGTAATTATCTTTCAGGGCTTGTCATGAAATACACGAGGTTTTTTTTATTCCTTTATTACTTCACAGTCAACACTTTGAGGATGGGAAGGGAGGATAGAGACCTTTCCTTGTGAAATTAAAGTAGAACTCCTATGGCTATGGTTAAAATCTATTTTTGTTGCAGGGAAGCTCTTTTAATTTTCTCTATATCAGGCAGTTGCATATGGCATTCAATTCAGCCCACTAAGCTTGAGAACTGAAGCACCAACCCATTACAGCTTGCGACTTACAATAACATACAGTGTAAAGTTAATCACTTACAAGATTTATGAGTCTGATTTACAGATATAATAAAAGAATTGCATTACAATCTTTTCAATGGCTGCTCTAATTCTCCTGAAAGAATTGAATGGGAAAAAGACACTAAAAAGGTGTTGCAGGTAGGATTGGTCAAGAAGTTGGCCATTTTGGGTCCACTTTGCAACATTGGCTGCGGGAAGCACAGACACATCACAGAGTCTTTCGGACGTGGTTTCAGGTTTGTCTCCTTGTTCTCTCTTTTGAAATAAATGAATCACATTTTATGTTGAATCAATAGGTACACAGTCACGAGAGCCATGACTAGGGAATGATCTAGATTAGTCTGTACCAGGACCAAACTCATAACATCTTCTCCCAATTGAACTCCTAAAGATGTTTGCTTTCTCTTTGTCTGCACAAACCCAAAAACCTTTTAGCACTATTTTTCTGCAGTAAACTTCAGAAAAGGAGAATGTGACAAAGTTGTACTTCAACTAGAAGTAGAGAAAATTATAGGTCTATAAGTAAGAATAGCATCTTCTTAAGATTAAACCAAAACCTGGTGGACTTAAAGATCAAAATCGACAATATGATACCAATGTAGGATATGAAAGGCTAAAACTACTAAGTCTCGTCGTTAAAGCCTGAAACAGAAGCCTTACCTCTGCAACAAGTCCTCCTCGGCTGTCAAATATTCTGAATGCTGTTTTGCCCCAAAACCCTTCGAACCTATAGCAGAAACTTTCCTGAGATTCATCTCCACGTAATTTTACATCACAGCTTAACTTTCTACTGAAAAATCTGAGAACCTTTTTCATTCTAAAGAATGGTTTTCTTTCCTCTGTGTTTACACCATTTTCCTCCTTGTATCCTTCCCAATCACACAGAAACCAAATTCTCTGCCAAAGGAAACCAAAAAGAACCAATGATGAAATTAAGCCATGGCTTCAAATATATGCAACAAAACTCATGCCTTGTTCATCGAAACCCACCTTTCGACGCACCGTAAAGAGAAGTTTCCCTCGGATATCCATCAGAAAGACTTCCCTGCTGCTCTTCTCATCATAATTGTCTATGCGGTAAACAATCTGACCATTTCCATTGATAACAGTTAGCCCATTTCCTTGCATGATAAGGGACTTCAGCCATACAGTGAAAGTTTCTGCCTTTGAATCAGCTGTCATGCAAGGAAAACAAACAGCTTCACCTCCAAAGAAGAGAGTAATTGGAGAGAATGAAAGTTTTAGCCATTTGGGAGAGAATATTCTGTCTCTCCCAAATACTTTATGGGACTCCATTATCATATAGCACAGTATCTCAGTTTGTGCGCTGAAATAAAACTGTGAAGTCAGAATTCCAAAAAAAATAGGAGGAGAAACTCAAAACTAAGACTTGGGGTTCATGTGATTACCCCCTTTTTTTTTCTCTTCTTTGGGAAATTATATGATTTCATAGTTTTCCATAGAGATGAGAGACTATTCACTTTTGTTTGTGTTTTTTTAAAACACTATACTTTCCTACCCTCACTATTAAATTTTTGACAAACATTTTTTTTAGTACAAATTTTTGACATGAGGAAGCAGACATGGAGAGGGAAGGGAGACTTTTTTTTTTAAAATAAATAAATAAATAAATATATATATATATATATATATAAGGATAATATTTTCATATTTTACTTTTCCTTTTGAATACAAATTGATGGCTACCTCGCAGCGAAACGACTAAATTTGGCCCCGCCATCTATTATTATCTATTTTTATGTAGAAATTAGAATTGATAATTAGGATAGAAAGTGTTACAATTGGTTGGGCTTCTATTTATTTATTTATTAATTCATTGGTTGGACTTTTAATTACTTTAATTCTCTTTAAAAAATCATGAGTTTAGTATTTGAATCACATTGAAAAGCTCTTGCCTCTTGGCGGACATGCCTTGTTTCCCTATGGGCCCGATTGTCATGATTATAATTTGGTGGGTAGAGAATTTTACACAAATTCATACAAAATGAAAACGCCAAATTTAATTTAGAAATTCAATATCATTACATTTTAATTTCAATTATAATTTATTCCCGTCGAGTCTAATCATATTTTTTCTGAAAATTAGGTGGAGAAAAATTGTATAGATATATGTATTGTTTTCAGATTCATTGAATTGAATTAGATGATTTTAGGGAATATTTATTTTACAGATTTATATCTGAAAGAAGTCACTATCAAGCAACGAGCCCTTATTAGTTTAGTTTAGTAAAGTCAAGCTCCAAAAAACGAGAGATTTACCTGTAGCATATACCAATTACCGCTTGGTTGGAGGTATATGTCAATTACCACTAAGCTATGTTCGCTTTGACATCTGCGCCATATTTATAAAAATGAATTTTCATTTTAAAAACACATTAAATTTATGCTATTCGGTGAAATCCCTAAAATTCAGGTGTGTGCTATATTTATAAAAATAAATTTCCATTTTAAAAATAAATATTAAATTTATGCCAGTGAAATTTCTGAAAGTTTATTTTTTTAATAATAGTTACTTCAATAGTATTTTAATAATTAAATCAACTAATTCAAAAGATATAAAACTGTAGATTATACAAAATAACTAGTTAAGGTCTCATTTGACGACATTTAAAAATTAAGTGGCTTTGTTTTCTGATTTTTTAAATTACAATTACTTTTTGAAATCTTAGCCTCTCGAGAAAAAAAATTCAAAACCTTTTTCTTGTTATTAAACTTGACTAGGATTCTAAAAGTATTTAAAAAAAAAAGGTATAAAACAAAGAAGTTGTAAATAAGAAAAAATATTTTAAATAGTATTTCACCAATTTATTTTTATCTTTGGTTTATTTTAGTTCATGTACTTTTAAAAAATATTCATTTAGGTCCTTGTACTTTAAATTTTTTATCATTTTAGTCTTGTATTTTCAAAACGTTCGATTTTATTTCTGTAATTTTAAAAGTTGCCAATTTGATCTTGACTTAATTTGTAAAATTTTAACATAAATTTTATATACAATGAAAATCATGTAATACAAATTTATGGTTACATGCCAAGAAAATTTAGAGAGCGTAATACTGTCCATGCTAGAAATCTAGAATTGTTATAGAAAGAAATGAAATGAAAATGAAAATGAAGAGGCCGAATTAAAATAATCACTTTTTAAAAGAACATGAACTAATTGAAATAGATGTTTTGAAAGTATATAGACTAAAATGGACAGAAGTTAAAAAGAACAACGACCAAAATAAATATTTATTTGAAAATATATGGATCAAGATGAACCAAACTCAAGAGTACAAGAACCAAAATAACATTTAAACCTAAAAATAAATAAATAAAAGAGTCATCCAAAATACATAGTAAAATATCATCAATGTCTTACCTATAATATACTATACATAAAATCATCTTATTCTAAGCTCTTTTTATCGGCATAGTTAAGTGGTAATTAGCATATCTCTCCAATCAAGTTCTCACTCTCATACGTTGTACTAAAAAAAACTCTTTTTTTAACTGTATTTGGTACCTCCAATTCATCAAGGCATTTGCAAAATTACTTTCTATTGTTTTAATCCCAAAAACCAAAACTTTACCAAAAATAAACAGTAAGTCCAAACTCTAMCAAAATTGCTTGAGACTTTGGCCAAGTTCTAAATTTAGGGTTTTCACACTAATAAGAACATTGACCTTCGAAGAAATCATACCTTCTTTCTTCTGTCACATCTCAATTATCTTATGGCCCATCATATTAGAGTGAATTAAGAAAAAAAAATTCCATCCCTAATAGTGAGGTCAAAAAGAACACCCTACATTGTTTTGGACTAAGCAAGGAAAAGTTAACATGCATGCATATGTTGCTTTTGTTATCCTTTATTCATCGTTTTCGTCTCAGAGTCGATATTCGAAAAACCATTTGGATTCCTTTTGTTTTGCTCCAATCACATAGTTTGATTTGAACTTGTTAAGATTTATCTTACGTCATGTAATAAATAAAGTAACGAAAATAGTAATACAAATTATCAAGATTATTGACTTTCGTTCAATTTAGACATGTCCTATCTATTGCAAACCGACATGATAAAAATACATTGCGAAGAAAAAACCAACCAAACCAAAGTCACTTATTGAAAAAAAAAGATGACACCAAAGGAAAACTAGGATTAGAAAAATATACACATGGTTTCCAATTGGAAATTAAAAAGTACAATAATGGAGTGCACACCAAGTTTTTGAAAATTTGTGAAAATAATAACCCAATTTTAATAATTGAGAGGGCTTCTAGTTCCAAAATAGTTCTAATGCACCCCCACTTTGAAAATGATAGTAATTGTAATTGTGCTTCTTTGATTTTATCAAAGGTTAATTAAAGAGGGAAATTATTGAAAAAAATAGATTTAAATACAATTCTCGTCCTTGTTTGATTCCTGAATAATGTACTTTCAAGTTTTCTTCTTTTTAGTCTCTAAACTTTCAAAATGTTTGTTTTTATTTCTATATTTTTTAAATATAGAAACTAAAATCACATTTAACCAAGAAATTAAGTTCATAATTAAAATAGATCGTGACAAACTACAAACTAATAATTATAATCAAAATTATTAGAGATTTGGAAATATATTAGCAATTGAGATCATGACTATCACGTTGAAGTCATGTGTTTTAGTTCTGTATAAATAGATCTTTTTTTTTTCTTTTTTCTTTTTCAAAGTTGTAAATGAGTTATTGATAAGGCACACATTGACTTGTGATTTCGTGATTGATTTTTTTTTTCTAATTTAAAGTACTCGCTTTCTTATAAAATAATTTGGGACGGTTTGATGATAGGATTTATCACTTCTAAAATAGAATATGTTCATGTATGTGATAGATGTTTAAGTTTAATCTAACATCAAATTTCAAATTTTATATCAAAGGATGACTTAAAATATGCTTACAATCCTTTAATGGAATAAAATATTCGTCGAACATGTGGTTATTTTATTAATATTGTTGATGTTTCCATAAAATTTGATATCACCACATTTATACTCATATCTATCTATATATACTTCAATTACAACCACAATAATATCTTGTTAGGTTAAATCCAAATTATAATATAATATGAATGCATGACAGATATTTTTAAGTGCTCACTCGGATTAGTCGGGAGTCTGCTAGATAGACATCATTGAATAGTACCTTTTGATGAGAGATATATGAACAAGAGGATTTTAGAAAATTAGTCTTTTCTAAATTATATAAAGCCAGTAAGCAAACATCGAGTCCATGGGTATTTGAACTCGAGTGTTTGAGAAAAAATAGAATATTTGATGGAAGAAAATGGGAAATTCTTTTGAGCAAACATGTTATAATATACATTTTAGTATATGTAAAAAATATACATTTTAGTATATTTTCTTAAATGCCTAAATAAATTATAAATTCACTTTAAATAGGCCTAGCTCATTTAAGATATGTTTAAAATTGTAAAAAAGAATATACATTTTAGTATGTCTCATATTTGAACCAAACATCTGATCTCTTTAAATTTTAAAACCTTAAATAAACCTAAAGCATGTATGTCTCGAAAAATATTAAAAAAAAAAAAAACCTAAATCATGTACAAACTGCCAATTAAATAATTATAATATAATTTTTTATTAAAAATATTACCTAACATATACTAAGTCAATTATATTCTTTAATGAGGTAGAAATGCTTTGACTAATTAATTAGTCTTAAATAACTATAAAATAATTATTTATTTATTTTTAGTACAATAAGTGGGGTTGGACAATTCGAACTCACAACTTCATGATTCAAGATAAGTATCGATACCGCTCTCTAGGTGAGTAATATATGTCAATTATCAGTTATAATTTAATATAATTATTAATTCAATATGTTGCCAACAAATAATAATTATCGAAAACAATTATTTTTCCATACTTTTTCAAAGGATGTGAGATACTAAATTGAAGCTCTCAAATAATTTCGAGATCGCATTAATTGCTTTTTAAAAAATTTATGCATGCAAAATACACTAATTAAAAAAAACGTGAAACTTGTTTGTAAAATATTTAACTTTCGACATTGGCACTTTTTCTTTTCTTTTCTTTTTTTATTTATTTAATTTTTAAGTTCAACATTCATTTGGCAGCCTTATTGGACTCACAAAATTTATGAATCATACATATTTTGCATAGTATCTAATTGTTCCCGAAAAGCAATTAATATCCAGTAAGAATAAATGCTAAAAATTAAGGTCGTGTGAAAATAATAGATTCAATAAAAAAATTGTATTCTATGTTTTAGTGTATTCATATATATCTTTTGTAACAAATTTGGAAATTAAATTTTAATTTAAAAATTGAATGATATATTTGTGAATTAGTGTGGTTAACCACTAAATATTTACTAAAAAAACAACTAAATATTTAATTAAATCTAAAATAATATTAATTAATTAATTAATATTGTTATCATAAATTTTGTAGAATTATTATTTTACAATATTATATAAATTATAATATACTATATTTTACATATTTTAATTTTTTAAAAAAATAAAATAAGTTTCTAACATGAAATAATAATATATTTATCAAAAAAATTTTGGGTGTAATTCTACCTTTTAAAGTTTCAAATTCAAAACCAAAAATATTGAAAATATAAAAATATTTGTTGTCAAAATTTCCAATATTTAGATCATATAATATAGAAACAGTTTTAAATAACAAATCTACCAAATACATATTTACTTTGATTAAGTAAATCTAAAAAAAAACAAAATGGGATTACTTACCAAACCAACTGTAAATAATTTTGGGTGGGAGGTTTTAAATTTTGAACTCTTATAATGTTTTATTTCTTACTTATTTAGTAGGTATGTATTACGCGAGGGAAAGTGTTAAAAGAATATAGGAGAAGCTTAAAAATATATAATACACAACTAAATAATTGTTCAGAAAAACAAACATAATTTTCTAAAATCAGAAAACTAAAAAAAAAAAAAACTACACATAATAAGCTTACTTTCTTTTATTTCCTTTATCCAAATAATTTCTCTTTTTTAAAACATACATAATTTTCATTTTATTGTAGATAGAAGCATGCTTCGATTTAATTAAGACACTATTTATCTTTTCCAAATGTCAAAGCTTGGAATTTCAACACATACATTTTTTTTTAATTAAAAGAATGTTATTTTTTTTTTAATTCAGTTAAGTATTGAAAAATATCTTTAATAGGTTAGATATCCTTAAAAGATTAAATTTACTCTAAACTCATTAATTTAAGCTCTTGAGTTAATTGATTTTTGATTTATTTTGATGTTTGTACTCTCAAAATATTCATTTTGGTCACTATATTTTCAATTTTCATTCATTTTAGTCCTTATACTTTCATTTAAGTATAGAATATATATTTAAATTTTGAAAAATACAGATCAAACTGATTACTTTTTAAAAGTAGAGAGAGAAAAGTAACAATTAAAATACAAAGGACTAAAATGAACCAAAATTGTGAGTGTATGGACCAAAATAATATTTTAACCTAAAAATAATAAGGTAAAAACTGTAACTAAATAATTGTGAGTAAACGACTTCAATTAAAATAATAATAATAAAATAAAATAATAAACGAGATTTTTGTCTAAATTACCGTAGGATTAAATATTAATTATTACCATGAAAATGAGTTTAAATCTTATAAAAAATCAATTAAAAAAGAAAAATAGTTTGGCTTATAATTAATCTTTCCTAGATAAGGTCTAAGGATAACTTCTTCTATATTGATCCCTTCGTTTAGCTCTTAAGAAACTAGATAACAACATGATGATCGATATTTTGTCTTTATATTTATTAATTTATTTTTGGTATCTTATCTTTGATTTTTTTTTTTATAAATTAAATTTTCTTCCCTGTTTTATTTTCCAATTTTGAAATGCTTTATGTAATTGTATAATGAAGTCAAATTCATAGATTCCTATGTCAAATCAATTATTTGATAAGAGGGACTAATATTATGAAATATTTTTAAATATCAATTTAAACGTAGTTCAATTTATTATACATGCATTAATAAACTCATTCGAAGGCTAAACATTTGAATTTACGTCTTCATATATTCTATAAAAATAATCAAATTGTCCTAGCTAGATAATTAGTAGTAGACCATGAAAAATATCCTCCTAATTAGAGGTTTAATTATTGTAATTTATTGTTTCGGTGGAAAAAAAATATTACCAAAAAGTTTATTGCCAAAACGAGCATAGCTCAACATTAATTGACATATATCTTCAACTAAGAGGTTGGGAGTTCGATCCCCACCACTACACGTTTATATATACCAAAAAGTTTATTAGAGATGTATAGACAAATAAAAGTGGCTAGGGAAACAAACTTTCTTTTTATATTTTGACTTTTTAATCTAAATATTCTAAAACTATTATTTTTTGGGACTTTTTCTCTCTCACGATCTTTTTTTTCAAAGATTTATTAATTTAGATCACATTCCAATTTTCCAGTATTGCTGGCGAGAGGTAAATATTATACATAATTATTAGTGAATATTATTTATCATTTTTACACGTTCAAAAGGTAAGTTTGATTATTGACGAAAATTTTTTTGGACCATATTAATCCGGGCCTTTTTAGCAGTGTAAATAGGGTCAAAAGAAAAGATGCTTTCATAAATATATCTGACTATATACCTATAAGCTGATTCCAAGATAAATAGGTTATTAACAAATATTCCGTGGAGTAACAATTCTTTTTTGGGTTAAATTATACAAAATACTCTTGAACTTTAGGGTAGATTTCAATACCACATTCTTTCCAAAGTTTCAATTATACTTTCCACCTTAAAAGTAGTTAAAAAAAAAACTTCTCATTTGAAAAAGATGATATAAATGTGACGTGACAATGAATAAAATGATGAGTTGTCAAAATAGAAAAACGTAGGTATATATGGCTCAATTATGCCCTAGAACTTTAGGTTAAGTTTCAACTAAAACCCGTATAGCTAGAAAAATCTCATTTTAAAACTAAACTTTTTAATGGTTGGAACCAACTTTGCATTTCCTTTGAAAATGAAGATGAAAATCTAACATTGCTAAAAAAAAAAAGTTGAATGGTATCAGTCACATTAAGAATGTGTTCTGGAGTGGTAAAATCACTTTTGCCGTGATAAAATCGCTTTTGTCATTGTCAAAATCATTTTCATTTCTATTAGTTATGTTTGACAAATTAAATAATTAATTTTAGAAAAACATAAAATCACTTAAAATTGATTTTTAAGATCTTAGGATGATGATTTTGGAAAAACAATTATTGTTAAATCTCCTTTTTTCAAAATTACTATTTCTACCATTACTCCCAGACACACATATCAATGGGAAAGGTCATTCACTCCAGACCTGTGACGCCTACTTTTCACAAATCCACTTTTATCCACTTTTCCACAAATTTTCTCCCACGAACATATATATATTCATTTTTTTTTATTATCTAGGAGTCTTCGCTTCCTCTACCGGTCCATGCTTCTTCTATGTACCTTCTTTTTATAATTTTACATTTCCATCTTTATTTTAATTGAGAAGTGAGTGGAATGTTGTTTTGAAATAATTCTGAAAATTAAATGTTAAAATGAAACTTCTGGAAAAAGAGAGAGAGAGAGCAGGAATGATACCATTTTTACCACATATACCAAGAAAATAGATAGAAAGAACAGGAAAAAAAGAAAAAAGGAATTAACGAATGAAAGTTTTATTTGTATTCCTTTGTAACTGGCTATACTAACTCCTTTACAAGAAACCAAAAACCTATATATATATATATATATATATTAAATGAAAAAGAAAAAAAAACAGAAACCAAAATCTGTAAAGATCTGTACATGTCGGACGGAAAATTCTTCAAAAAGAAAAAGAAAAAAAGCAAAAATTTGTATATTTTGTTTGATAATATAATTTACATCTGGCGACGAATTAATCCATAAACCGTCACCAAAGCCATAACCAACGATCGATCGATCTCAGAATTCGCATCTAAACTCAACACATCGTCTCCCAAAAGCACTCCGTTCGAACATACTTTTCTTTTCGCCTGTCAATTTTCAAATCCAAAATACAGTCTGTTAGAAACTGTTTGGCACGACGGAAAATCGGCCGAGAAAACGAAGGAAAATGTTCTCACTCCACTAACCTCTGCAATTACTTCTCCATTGATGTTGATTATTCTGAAGGCTAATTTCCCGTCCGTTTGCACCAACGAAAACCTCTCGAATCCCACGCTAATTTCACAAATCGATTGATTTCTCCTCAATCCTCTGTACAGTTTCCTCACTCGAAAGTTAGGGCTCTTACTTCTCTCCGATTCGATCCATCGGAACCCGTCCCATCCTCCAAGAACCGAAAATTTCTGCAGAAATTAACCAGAAATCTAGGATTAAATCGACGAATCTCAACGATTCAGCATCAAAATCTCAGAAACCGCCATTTTCTTTTGCTTACCTTTTTTCTGATGGTGAAGAGGACGTTTCCTCTGAGATCCATGAGGTAAACTTCACGGCTGCATTTTCTGTCGTAGTTATCGACTCGGTAGACGATATCGCCATTGGAATCGAAGACGGTGCAGCCATTTGTGTGGTAGATCAGAGATTTCATCCAAATGGTGAAGGATTCTGTTTCAGAACAGAGCGAGGAAGACGACGGCGACGGCGCTGTTTGAGGGTACACTTTGGCCATGGAAATGGAAGAGAAAAGGGGGGGTTCTGAAATTTTGATGAATTGAAAGAGGAACTGAGAGAAGGTAATTTATAGGGAGGTTTTTCTTTTTGCAATTATTATTGTTTTGAAGTTTTTTTTTTTTTAAAATAAAATATTGAAAATGAGAAAGTTATGGCATGGAGACTATAATGAATAAATTAATAATGGAAGAATATAATAACTTTTAGCGATTAGAATGGTGTCTTAAGTTAATTCATAAATGAAATCTTGTCTTTTTATGTAAAAGATAGAATCATCCTAAATTTTTTATCTGGTTTATAATGAAAAAGATTTGAAATGAAAGTAGATAAATTTATTAGTTTTAATGTTGGCCAAAAATTAAAAGAAAATAAGAAATTTACTAATATTGGTTTTTTAATTCTAATTTATTAATATAAAAATAAAAGAATATTACAAAGTCAAATAAGTAAAAGTTACCCTTCAATGAATTTTTGCAAAATTCCGTCGTTTTGTTAAGTTATTTTTTCACATAAAAACATTATCGGAGACCACTTGATTTCAAACCATTTGAAAATTCATTACGATTTGAAAGTGCTCAAAATCATAGGTAGACAAATAGATTATAAAAATTTTAAAATGTCTATTTTTATTTTTAGGTTTAAACTTTTTTTTACCTTTATATTGTTATATTATCGTTAATTGTTCAATAGATAAATGATATAGGTTTAATTATGTGAATGTACTGACATAATCACATAAACATTTGTTATAAACTAAATAATCAGGTTGGGATGCTTGATGAATAAGGTGAAAACCACAACACGTGTCAAAATAATAATAACAATTTAATTTTAAAGTTCAAGAACAATGATTTACCTTCATAAACTAAAATGTAATCTCAAAATTTAGAAACCAAAATATATTGGGATTATAAGGTAGGCAAACAAAGTTCCACATTCATTAGGGAAAATAGATGATCCATGATATATAAGAAACGACAATTATCTTTTTTAATACCTACCTTTTAGGTGGAACCAAAAATAAAGTCACGAGGATTAGAAAATGGTAGAATATGATAAATTATGGATTAGAAAGGATGGTGTCTTATTATATAAATAAAATTTTGAATTTTATTTAATCTGTCTTTCTTTTTCTTTGTTCTTTATTTCTTCTTCTTATTATTATTTTGTTGAGGTATTCTTTCTTTCCACTCGGTTTGGTTACGTGGATTGGCACTACACATTGTTTTTTTTTAAAGCATTTTTTAAGGGCTTTCATTTTGTATTATTTTATTTCTATCCCTTTCTGGCTTCAAAGAGTATAGAAACCAAAATAAAATCTTTACAAAGATAAAAAAAAAAAGATAAAAATAGGGTGAGATAGAGACGTAAAATTATATGGACCAACAAATGTAAGGTAACTTGTTATATTATATTGTCATAAGCTATAGAGGAATTGTTTAGATTCTATTTTTAGTTTTTGAATTTTTATATATTTATTAGACTTTCATCCTTAAATTTTCGCTCCTTCTATTTCAGTTCATAAATCAAAATTTATTATAGTAAATCAGGTCTTAAAATATGGAGCAAATCAAGGTTTTCGTTAAATGATTAGCAAAAAATTAATCGTAATCAAGGTATTAAAATTTTCATCAACATATCGACATTTTTATCCATATATACATATATGTTCACGAGTGTTCAACATTGACATGAAAGATGAATCGACATTTTTATAGTATCGAAAAAAATTGACAAAATATATAAAAAATATCATCAATATAAACATAATATAAATATTAATAATTGTTAGCTTATTTAAAAAGGTAAAATGTTCATTTTTTACTTTAAATATTAGTTATGAATTTTTTATTTTTATAATTTTTCTAGAAAAATTCATCAACATCCTCGTGTTTTTATCGAAATTTCGATAAACTAGCACTAAGATATTGACCTTCTATCGATATTGACATTTAAAATCTTCATCGTGATGAAATAATATATTTTTATTTCATATTTAGAGATAATATAGTAAATAAAAAATTGCGAAACTAAAATAAAATTTAAACCTAAAGTGGAGAGAGAGGAGAGAGAAAGAAGAGCTTTTCACCTAATTGAAGTGGTGACTGCAGCCAACCATTTATCTCTAGTTTTTCTTTTCGCCTTTTTCCTTTATTAGTTGTTATTAAATAATATTAATGGTGGCTGAGTTTGAATTCTCTTCAAACTTTATTATAGTCATACTTTAATAAACTATACTTTATAATCTACGTACTAGTAAATTCCTACTTTATTTATCTAATCCTAGTGCAGACAACTCCCAAATTAAAGCATGCCATGTTAATTAATAAGTATAGAGAGATATATAATTATCAAGTTTTAAACATGAAGGCCAAGGAGACCATTTTTAAAATGAACAAAGATATACATGAAGGGGAGAGATTTGAGTCACGATGCATAAGTTTTAAATTAATTGAACTTTTATAAGTTTGGAGATGTAGACAGAATTTAATTTTTGATATTATAAGTTCTAAAACTATGGGTGATTTTAGATTGAGTCGTTAGATTTGAGATGAGGATAACTCACCCATATCATACAATTTTGGCAGATTTTCTAGGATTAAGCAATTAATATTCAGCTAGGTTATTCATTGTTATCTTTGATATAGAATTAAATAAAGAAAATATGTATTGATCAAAAATTAAAGATGACAAATCAAAGTTGATGAAAACAATCCCAAGTAAATTCAAACTTAAATAAAATGGAGGAAAATTCAAAACCTAATAAAAAAAAATTCAAAGATTTTTTTCGAGTTTAACAATCGTAGAGTTAGAGATTGAACTATTAATCTTTGGAATGATAATACTTAAATATCTTATCTATTAAATTATACTCGAAATTGACATCTAACACATTATCGTAGGTATTTTATTAGGGAGAAAACAGAAAAATATTGGATTAAATTTTAAGTGGGATACTCATGTGTGTATATATATAATTGTTTGGCTTCTGACTTCAAAGGTTATCTTATATTCATGAAGTCAAATAACACAACCAAATAAAGCCCTTTCTTTTTTCCAAACATGAGAATGTATGGCTTATCATTTTAACAACTCTGAGTTGAAAAGTTTGAATAATTGATATAGCTTATATTTGAATAGCCTTTAGTTTGTAGGTTTGTGATTTATAAAAGTTTAGTATATATTATATTGGATTTTAATATAAACTTGAGATTATATAATGTAACCCGAGTTTATGTTACCCATGAGATTTTGCAAACCCATAACCTAAAATAAAGCAAATTTATATAAACTATAGACTTAACTTCTTAAATTAACCTTAAGTCATTACATAAACCTAAACTTGGTGAACCCAAACACTCCCTTTATTGTTTCTTAGGGATGAGATCAAGTCGTCCTACATCAGTTGAAAGAGCGAAATGATCCTAGATTTATATATGTAAAAATATCTTTCATTAATATATGAGATGTCTAAAAATACAATTACTTAATTGAGTTTGACTCAAAATTAAACGTTAGGTTGATGCTGGATTTTGTTGAGTTCAAACTACGAAAGATCGGCTTCTGATGAATCTGGACGAGCTATAGAGGAAAGACATGCAAAAAAGAAACAGACACTCTGAAGTTCAAGTCAATTCGAGTTTGAGCTGAGTATGTCAGTGTTAGACATAATTGCATACCTGAGTCGAGTGAGTGGTGTTCCTTTTGTAGTTGACGTAGGGGGACACAAGTCTTTACAATTGTTATGGCATGAGATTGTGGTGGTCTATTGAGATCTGTTTAGCTCGGACCAATAGAACCTATTGAAAGATTACTTAGATTTTCTAGGTTGCCTCAGCTTGGCTTTGGTCGTTGGTCAAATCTTTTTTTCGAATGGACAAGTATGTCTATTCTTCGTGAGCTGAGTTGATTGTCCACATGTCACGTTGATTTTTTACTCTCCAACACATTGCATAGGGGATATAAAAGAGAAGTTAGTTGTCTTGATATTATTAAATATTGGACATTGTATAAACATTTAGATTAATATGTTAATTAAAAATAGAAGTGAAGAAATTAGAGGCATAGTCCCACAAACAAAATTAGATAATGGTCCATTACTCTAAATATAAAGTGGGAGATGGTAAGAGAGAAAAGAAAAACAATATAAATGAAGGTCCATAGTGGGAGGCAATGGCATGCAAAAGTAGGGTTAGTTAACCTTTAATTTTATCATCTTCTTAAATTAATGGCCCTCTAATATAATGCCATGGCCTAACCATTTTGGTGTGATTAAGTAATATTATCTTGGTCCAATTCTACTTGCTAATGACAATTAATACATTAATTTAACTAAAGAAACTTTCCACCCAATTAAATGTGCTTTCTATGCTTTTAAAAAAGAATATAATATTGGGGATTAATTAAATTTTGGAAACCCCAGATCAGTCTCATGGGTCTAAGCTATTTTGTCCATTTCCTCCCTAATTTTCAAACTAATCCAAGAAAAAAAAAAGTCATACATTGGGAATCTATTGTTCTTCCCACCAAAAACAAAATTAACTTTTAATAGTAAAAATTTGATTTAAGTTATCAACCCAAAAAGAGGGTTTTTTATTTTATTTTTTTAATTGGGTAATCAAGGGATTAAAAAATTGGGTTAGTGATGGGGGCAGCCAAACATGGACTTAGTGCTCGACAAAGCCTATCGTTTGACTTGTTTTGTAGGGACAAAAGAGTTTTAAGACATCATTTGGTTTTCCAAATCAAATTTAATTAACAAGTCAATTGAAAAATTCAACTCTTTAATTTACTCACCAATTAGCCACCTTTGGAAGTCATAATTTCAAGGTTGTTCCTTTTTTGTGAGATCAAAATTTGAATATTCAAGCAATCTCTTCGCCTAAAATCAAGACACACCACTAGATAGAAAAAGAAAATTGATGCTCTCGATGCCCGCAATAAAAAGACCATACCTATTCGAATTATATATAAAAGGGATATGCATGTAACCTTCATTCTCTCGAAGCTTTAACTTTCGCC